TTAGGGGCCTTCCACGCCCAAATGACGCCCCACCCTCCTGGGCCTACATCCTGAGTGCTCAGGACCCTCCCGCACACGCCGCCTAGGCCGGGCTTCACCAGGCGCAGCCAGCTCCAGCCTCCTGTCCCTGCCCCCGCCTCCCGCTTTCCAGCTGTCACCAGCATGTTTCCTGCCCCTACAGCCGCGTGCAGCCAGGTCCCTGGCCTTCCCTGGATTAGTACCTGCCGGCTGATTTCTAGACAATGTCCAGATGAACATGTTTGAATCGCACATGCCTAAGATCTTAGCTATGGAAGCAAAAGGAGCTCAATTATGATCTACCCGGAGGAGTGAGATATTAAATACTGAGATAAAACAGGTAAGGTGCCGATGACGTCCACCTCTGACTGCTGGGCTTATCTATCCTGAAACAAGAAATACTGGATTCTATTTTTTTAGCTGAAGCCATTAAGTAAGTTTTTGTGGTCCATCTTATTTATTTATTTAAATATATCTTTATTGATTTCAGAGAGAGGAAGGGAGAGAGAGAGAGAGAGAAACATCAATGATGAGAGAGTCATGGATCGGCTGCAGCCCGCAACCCGGGCATGTGCCCTGACCGGGAATCGAACCCCGATCTCCTGGATCCTAGGTCGATGCTCAACAGCTGAGCCATGCCTGGCTGGGCCATCTTATTTTTTCAACTGAAATATATTTGGCATACAACACTGTGTAAATTTAAGTTGTATAATATGTTGACTTGATATGTTTATATCTTATAGTATGATTACCATTATAGCAATAATTAGCACCTCTATCATGTCATGTAATTATTTCTTTTTTGTGGTTAGAATAGTTAAGATCTATAACACAATAATTATAACACAATATTGCTTTTCTATTCACTATATTGTGCATTATCTCACTGCAAGTTTGTCCCCCTAAACAATGTCTCCCCTACCTCCCACCATTTTCGGTCTATCTTAGAATGATGCTGGAAGATAGTGTATAGTTACAGTGACATATGCCATTACTCCATTTGCACCCTTTAAACTTTTTTCACTCAATTATGCACTAGGCACTAAGAGATAAAATAGCAGCAGAGGGGTTTTGTTTGTTTTTTAGTCAACAAATATTTGCTGAGCACTCTCTACATGACAAACACAAAAATAATAAGCAGTGGGGATAAATGACTAGATAAAAAGAGATATCAGATATGGCCTAATATTAATAATCCAGGGGGAGAGACAGACACTGATCAAATAATCACACAAATAAACCTAAGAACATAACTCTGGTGAGGGCTACAGGAAGAGGTTCTTGGCCCTGTGAGGCCAGCCTGCAGAGGGGCTCAGCAGAGAAGGCTCCCTAAAGACATGAGGACCAGGCTGAGGACTGCCTGGAAGGACACAAGATATGGAAAGGAGGGGAGAGAATGCCGGGCAGCAGCAAGAACAGGTAGGTGCAAAGTCCCTGTGGTAGGCAGATGCCTGATGAGTAAGCAGAGACTGAACCATGGCCATGTGGCTCAACAGGGGACAGAGGCAGGAAAGGAGCAGGGTAAGGTCAGACTTGAGAGGGAGGTAGCAGCTGGACGGCTCAGTCCTGCCAGGACACATCACGAATTTTGGCTTTAGCCTAAAAGTAGTAAAAGCCACTGATTGAGGTGGAATGACCAAGTTAATTTATGTTTTTAAAGATTACTCAAAGGATGCTGCGAGGATTAGGAGAAAAGTAAGAATGAAAGTGAGGATGCCATCTGCAAAAGACATTTAACCTAATCCAGGCAGAAAAAACACTTATGAACAACTAAAAGAACCATAAAACAGAGGAACAAGCCCTCTCACTCAGAGAAAAATTAAGTGGAAAGAATGACGACTTAAGGTCTAGAAGAATGGGCTCTAAGCCACCCCTGACACCAGTCCCCTACGTGGGAGGCAGAGAAGCTTAGGGAGGCAGTAGGCACAGGCATCAGACCTGGCTCGGTCACTTCAGAGCTGGTGTCCCTGCTGCTTAGTATCTCTGCCACGCTTTCCTAGTAAGTAAAATGCAAGTGGTTATCTTAGGGGAGAGGGAGTACTTGGGAGGGTTAAATGGTAATTTATGCCGAGCCACTAGTTAAGAAATAGGGATACACTCAAGTCTGTGTGTGTGTGTGTGTGTGTGTGTGTGTGTGTTTGAGTCTGTGTGTGTGTGTGTGTGTGTGTGTGTGTGTGTGTGTGTGTGTGTGTGGCTGCTATCATTACCACAACAATGTGATCTTCAGTAAGTCATTTTCTGGGCCTTTCAGTTCTTCAGCAAAGGGAGGGGCAACCCTAGAAGACCTGGATGCTTCTGGTAACTCTGAAAGTTTTGTATTTAAGAAGTATAGCTCGGCGTGGGCTGGCGAGGAAGAAGATGGGCCTTGAAGACTGAACGAGTAGAATCTGGATGGGCTGAGAGGTGATCCGCTGGCCCAGGAGAGGGCAATGCCCGTAGGCTTACATGATGTGGCTGACTGGCAGATGCTGACCTGGTATCCACTCCCCCTTCCGCCTCGCTACTGACTCTGTTTGGGACTGCAGTGTATCCACTGATGACTCCCCTGCGGCTGTGTGGTCATATGACCCCGTACAGTCCAGTGAGCTGCAAGTGGAAGTCTCCTGGGTGCAACTTCCAGAAAAGCTACTGACTTCCTGATAAAAAGGACAGCTCAGCTGGCCAGGTGCTTTGCCTTTCACCCTCCCCCCTTTCTTTCTGCCTGGGTCACAGAAGCAACACCTGAAGGTGGAGTAACCAACCCTCTTGCAAAAAAGGCTGAAACTGTAACTCAGTGTGGTAGGGTAGAGAGTCGGGAGCCTGGCCCTTGATGTGTGGCTCGGGAGGCCACACAGGCCCTGGACAGCTTACCTCTGGGCGTCCTGTCATGAGGGCTTCATGACATTTTGAAAAGACACTGTTGTTAGATTCTGTAGCAAGAGCTGGAGACACGGAAAAGAAAGGATGCGCATGTTTACACAGCGTCCCGGGATGTACGGCATGCGGGGCAGGGGGAAGCGTGTAAGGTAAGTAGGCACAAGCACAGAACACACCGAGAAGAAGGCACCAGTAGGCAGATTAAAACCGACTCCCCAGGCATCCTTGGCTAGGATTCAGGGAGTATGCGAATCTGCTTTATTTTCACAAGCTTATGAAATTCAGCGCTTCCTCCTATTATGATTGTAAGGGAACACAGCACAACAGTATCAGCAATAACTGACTTGGTCACCAACAGAAATAAGGCACTGTCATTCCACACACCTCGATTCACTGTTTATGCTCATTGCTGCCTGCAACGGTGGCAGCAGTTATTACAGCCACCTGACTCTTGTCATTTGCCACATTAGTAAAGTACACGTCATATTACATCCTCACGACCAAGGAAAATGGCAAAAGGAAGGAAATTCTTGCTCATGGCATCTAATTCCCCAAAGAGTCCAGGCCTCCTGAGTAAAACCTCCACACACAGTCCTTCGGTGACCATTTAAAGGAAAACCCGGCCACTGTCCCTGAGGAGGCTACAGCAGTGGCAGGCGAGGAATGGAGACGAGCAGCTGTCTCGGGGTCCAGGCACAGGGTCTGTTACACCAATGTCGTCATATTTCTAGAGCCATGATTTAAATCAAAGAGGCCCAAACCCATGAAAAATGGGTTACACTGCAATGGAACGCTACTACATTTTTAAAAAGCAACTGATTCTTCTGACAAGTATTCCAAGCATTCCCTTCAACCAGACAGACAGCTTTGCAGCCACCACACCAACCAGGTGACAACATATCTGGGGAATTTCCATGCTATCAAGAGGAAACCTTGTTGGGAGGTTTCTGAGTGGGGCACAGGGGTCAACGCTCTCCTCTTGAGAACCCCTCCGCACAGCAATGCTATAAAAACTCTAGCACAGCTCATTTTTTAAATGCAATTAAATTTTCAGCCCAGCCGGCGTGGCTTAGTAATTGAGCGTCGACCTACGAACCAGGAGACTGTAGTTCGACTGCCAGTCAGGGCACATGCCCGGGTTGTGGGCTCGATCCCCAGAAGGGGGCGTGCAGGAGGCAGCCGACTGATGACTCTCATCATTGATGTTTCTGTCTCTCTCCCTCTCTCTGAAATCAATGAAAACACATTTAAAGAAATTTTTTTTCACAGCTAAAACCTGTAAGACAATTTTGCCACAGAGAAGTTTGTTGCTTACTGAATAATCTAGCACTGGTTGACGTGGGGGCCAAGCCCAGACCAATGAAGCATCTCTGAAGGTGGGGTCTCAGCCTTGATTCTTTTAAAAGCCTCCCCACCCGAGGACTGTCATGAGCAGCCAAAGTTGAGAACCCCTCGTCTCATGGAAAGGGGGCTGCTAATGAGTCAGGAGACCCATATTTTAGCCCCAAATCAGCCCTCGGTCCACTGTGTGACCCTGGATAAGTCACTTATATCTCCCTGAACTGACCAGACGAGTGGTGGTCAAATTGTGTTCCTGGTTC